GGCTTTTAGGGATTGTTCAAAGCATAAATCATTCTTTTGTAAAAGAGTTCAAAGCAATTTTCAAGATACAATTGAATATCATAGAATTCACACTAGTCATGTCAAAATTTTTATGCTTTACTGAAAAAAGATCAAAGTGAAAAAAATGTCACCCCAAAAAAATTCCCCAAGTTTTCTGTCAGTCAATAAAAAATCTCCAGTTTGGAAATGCTGGGCGGCATTATGTGAAAAGTGCCTTTGGTTCTCAATGTTACTTCCTGTTTTCCTGTCCAAACTTGCCACACGATGTCGTGACATCACATGGAGATGCACGGGAGCTTGACTTTCTGCTGTTTTTTCAAAGCATGCTTTGTGATTCAATTTCATGCTGACTGTCAAAATAAGCAGACTAGGGTTTATATTACCACTTTAATAAAAATATTGTGAAGTCGTGGTTTTGGTGCTATGCAGCACAACCTGATGTAATAATTTTATGATTGGTATAATTTCATCATTTTATTTTAAGTAAATTTTTTTTTTGTAGCTTGAAAGACAGAAAATGAGAGAAGATGCATCTCAAAAAAGCAGAAGAATTTCACATTACTTTATAAAAAAATATCTCATGGAACAATTAAAGAATCCAAAGAAAAACCAGCCAACTTCTGAACAATTAGTTGTAAATAAACCTCAACAAGAACAACATCCAGAGATTCAAAATATTTATAATGAGAATGAGTGAGTAAAGTTATATCCATTTAAAATTAAATTTTTTCACAGAAAAGAATATGTTAATTTTTATATAACATAAAATTATTACAGAATATTAGACTATCCTGTTACAACACTTTTTACGTAAACACTTAACTATGTTACAATTTAAGATTTCATATTTAATTAATAATCCCAGAGAAATTATTAAAACTTCCGTCTAAAATTTAGATAAGGATATTTTAATGATAGTCATAATTTAAAATATTACTTCATAATACATTCAATTAAAAAGTACAGTAGAACCTCGATTATCCGGACTAATTGGGGATGAAGGTAGTCTGGATAAGGAAAAATCCGGATAATCGAAACAATTCCTTTGTTTGCCTTTCCTGTCAGCTGGATGACCTTGAACACAGCTGGAGTCGGATTTCCCGGGACATTCTCATAGAAGTCTCGGGAGGACAAGGGTTTAAAGTAGGGTGAGTTCTATCTGGCCATATATTTTTAAATATTTTTAAAAAATTAAAATTTTAATTGCGATTTCCGACCCCCCCCCGATTTAATTAAACTTATATATAATAAAATACATTAATACAATACAATAATATTATTTGTTTTCATCAAAATTAGACATATCTGCTGTGACAAGTTAATTTTGATGTCATTTTTACATATGATTCTTTTCTATTGTAAAATGTTTTATAATAGTCTTTGTATAAGAAGATTTAAAATGATAATAATTTGTTTTGTAAAATTCTTACATTATTTTTATTTCATACTCACTTCATACTGAGAATGCATAGTTTATGTCCTGGTTTTGCTTGAAACTGCTTGGGTAATTATAAATTAAATTTCATTCCAAGAAAATATAATTTCTTTGTATTTATAAAATGCATAATTTTGAAAATTTTTCATTTCATTTATATAAATATGGTTTGATTTTTTAATTTTAAGGGTGGTATTATTTTATCATTTTATTTCAGAAAAAAGCATTGGGGTAAGATCTTGTGAATGCTCATGCAAACTGGGATTTTGTTCTTTGTACTTTTGTTAACATGAAACAATTAATAGAGTAATCATTAAAAAGAAAATATATCCAGAAAAATTAGAATAAAATGTATGTGTGTTTTTTTTTTAATTCAAAAAGTTTGATGATATACATCAACTGGATAAAAAAAAAGTTCAAATATTTTATTTGGCACTTATTTTGAGACTTATTTAGACTTTTAGGGATTGTTCAAAGCATAAATCATTCTTTTGTAAAAGAGTTCAAAGCAATTTTCAAGATACAATTGAATATCATAGAATTCACACTACTATGGTGTTTACATTGACAAGCTTAAATTGGATTCATTTTTTTTGCAATCAGTGTCAGAAGTATATTTCTGATCTGGGCTCATTATTTATTAAATGTAAAGCTTCAATGACAGATAACTGTTTTATGCAACCATTTTACAAAACATCAAAATACTAAAAAATTGCACATCAATTAGCAGCAATAATTTTTTTATTAAATATTATTTCCTACTTTGGCTATAGATGAGTTTAAGCTGTCCAACTCCAAAGAATAACTATAAAACTGTAAATGAGTGAGAGTCATCCATAGTCCAGAACAGTGGTTCTTAAACTGGGGTCTGTGATCCTCTAGGGGACAGCAAAGTGGTTTCAGGTGGACTGTGAAGGGATCACTTCAAGCAAAGCAGATGCACCCATCCCATTGAATGCACATTTGATGACTAAGACTTGCCATTTTCTGAATAAATACAGTAGGTGATTGGTTAACGAACAAATCAGATAATGAACACTTTCGCGAAAGATTTTTATGATCGGACAACGAACACTTCACTGAACAAACATAAAAAGAAGCGACGAAAATAGCAAATACTGAGTGATTTTCCTTTGTTTTCAGGTAACTTTTTGGAGCGCGGGAGACATCAACGTTGACGCTCAACCTGATATATACTGATTAGATAGTATCCCTCAAACTTTGAAATACTCCCTTGTAATTCCTTGTTTGTCAGAAAAATAAAAGGTTTATTTTTATTTTTCTGACAAACAATTCTTTTGTAGTATTCACGAGACTGTTGGGCGGGCACTTGTTAAGTTTTTGCGTTGGTTATTTTCGAAAGGTGATAGTATAATAGCAAATATAGGCAGATGTCTGATGTTTCTGGGCAGTATGGTTTGAACAAATCTACAGAAGGGCACAGTTCAATCTTATCTAAGAAAGATACAGTATAATCAAGAAGACTCCAGCAGCTAAAGGAGTAACAAATATCACATCTGAGAAATAAAGAACATTGAAGAGCTCATAATGGAACCTGAAATGTTTCTGACGACAGAAGAACGCCAAGAACTCTTGAATGGAGAACACCAAGAAACTCGGTGAGATGTTTTATTCTGAAAAAGAGGATTAATGCCGATATCTGCTATTAATTAAAGATCTTTTGAAGTGGGAGATGTCAGATCAATGGTCTTAGAATGGCATACAAACCAGGTTGAGGTTAATAGGCTTGGGGATCTCTACAATTACAATGCTATTAATTCTGAAAATCCTGAATAAGAGAGAAAAGCAATTGATATTAGACAGATTATTTAACCCCCACAAATTATAAACATAACTAAAAAAATGCAAGTCTGTGTATATATGTACAGTAGAACCTCCATTATCCGGACCTCCAATATCCGGATTTTCGATTATCCGGATTGTTCAAAATGAACAAAAATTTTACGAATTTGCTGATTTGTACGGTTTAAATACAGTATTTACTTTTAATATTACCGATATGCACCATACAAAATAAAACGTGTTGTATTATCATTAAAAGACAAATTAAAGTATTTGTTTTGATTATCCGGATTTATCCTTATCCGGACTACCTTCATCCCCAATTAGTCCGGATAATAGAGGTTCTACTGTATTTAGAAANAAAAAGCTAGTGGTTTCTAACAAAACTGAAAGTATCATCAATTTGAAACATCAATTTTTAATGTTTATTACTTTTTAAATTAAAAATGATTAAATTATGTTTTTCTAATGAAATGATTAATTAGTGATTACTCTGATTATTGGAGAATTAATCATCACTTGACAATTGGTAGAGAGAGAAAAGCAATTGATATTAGACAGATTATTTAACCCCCACAAATTATAAACATAACTAAAAAAATGCAAGTCTGTGTATATATGTATTTTTATTATTACATATAAACAAATGTAGTAAGAAAGTATATATTTTTTAATTTTTGGGGTCTCCAGAACAAATTACCGTATTTTGAGGAGTATAAGTTGCTGTCAAGTATAAGACATACCCATATTTTGAGACAAAAAATTTAGAAAAAACTTTTTTAATGGGATTGTCTAAAGATGCATTTTATTAATCATAATGGCCAAGAAATTCTTCAACTGAATCACTGCTATTTACCAGTAAATTACATCCATTAGGAAACATATCTTTGACGTCATTAATGACTGATTCATCATCCCTTTCTTGAATTCCCAAAGTATTGACTGAATCATCATCATCAGAATCTTCATAGATTGCCTCATCTTCTATACCATCCAGAGCATTAGATATTCTGTTTTTCTTGAATGACTTAATAATGATCTCCGTTTTAATACCTTCCCAAGCACGCAGCACCCAATCGCACACTTGTGCAATGCTGGCTCGTTTTATTCTCCCTGTTGGTGTTAAACTTTTATTTGCAGCAGTCATCATCCACTTGTTCCATTCATCACGAATTGCTTGCTTGAATGGGTTATTTATTGACATATCTAAAGGTTGCAGCTATGATGTAAGCCCTCCTGGAATTACAGCTAAACGTGTCTTCAATTCTGCAGCTACTTGTTCTATGCTCTGTGTCAAGTGTCCCCTAAATCGATCCAGTACCAAAAGTGACTTCTTCCTTAAAAAGCCCCCTTGTCTCTTCATCCAAATATTGTCAAACCATATTTTCATGCCTTCTTCATCCATCCAACCTTTGGGATGACAATGATCTAAAACTTCATGTGGTAGTTTTTCCTTTGGCATTGTCTTTCTCTGAAATATTAACATGGGCTTGAGTTTTGTTCCATCAGCTAAGCAACTTAATACTACAGTAAAATGATTCTTTTCATTTCCAGTTGTCTTGATAGTAATAGTTTTGGAATCTTTTATGTCAATAGTTCTTTTCGATGGACAGTCGAATGTCATTGGTGTCTCATCCATGTTTCTTATTTGATTCAGTGGAAACTGCATCTTCTTCCTCAACTCAATAACAAATTTGTGAAAGTCCATAATCTTTGCTTCATATGATTCAGGCATCTTCTGGGCCAGTCTGGTTTGAGTTCTCATTGCCAGACCCTGTCTTCTCATAAACCGAAACACCCAGTATAGAGTGCCAGTAAAATTGGTGATACCTTTTTCCTCTGCTTTTTTCCGTGCCTCAAAGAGAATCATCTTTGTTGAAATGGCCACTTCACTGCTATGTTGTTCTGTGATCCATAATTTAAGAACTTCTACGGGTGGCCACTTTGGATGTAGTCCTCTGCAAGCTCTCTTCTTTCTTGGCAGTGTCTTCAAAAACTCCTCCTGTTTTCGCCAATCCCAGACTAGCTTTTCATTTGGCCCATACGCTCTTTCAGCAGTTCTGTTGCCATTTTCTTTGGCCTATTTTATTAACTCCAATTTGAACCCAGCTGAATAGGACATTCTTTTCTTTTCTCCAGACATTTTTCAAGGATTTAAAAGACTAGAAAATTGAAAAACTTGCAATGTTGTTGATCATTAAAAATTCTTGAAAATACAACAAAAACTGGTTAAAGCTTACATTCACAGTAGCAGTCCAGTTACCGGTACATGACCCACCCAGTTAAGGGACTAGTTCACTTAAAGAACCAATTCAGACCTCGCAGAAAATACTGCTAAGGCGCTCTCAAAGCCCCAAGTGGCTTTCTGAGAAAATACCTAAAGTGGAAGACATGCAAAATGAGAGGGAAGTTGAATTTTGGGTAGTTATTGATATTATTGATATATAAACATACCTTTATTATTTTCTAGAAATAATAACAGCCAATTAATTTGTTTTTGATTTGCCACTGTTGCTCGTTTTTGTCAAAAAAAGTTTTGGTAACAGTAGCCTATATGTTAATTGTAGTTAATTTTAAAGGGTCCATGAGCAATCTAAAAAATTGTAGAGAGACTGTAACACAAGAAATCCTAAAAAGTTTGAGAATCACTGGTCCAGAAAATTTTAAAAATATATATTTCCAAAAATTTATTAGTACCACAATAGAATTTTTCAGTTTGAATAAAAGTTTCAGATTGAAAACAAAGATATAAAAAGCTAGTGGTTTCTAACAAAACTGAAAGTATCATCAACAAGAAAAAACAACAATTAATAATGATTACTACTTTTTAAATTAAAAATGATTAAATTATGTTTTTCTAATGAAATGATTAATTAGTGATTACTCTGATTATTGGAGAATTAATCATCACTTGACAATTGGTAGAAGAGCCGATTAGTATGATTAACAATTAGTGAACAATTAATCAATATGTCTCTAATTGTAATGAAATATATTGCTTTGATGTATGTTGTTTACAAGTGAGTTTGATTAAATATAATGTATAAGTTATGAGGTCATATGTATATTTCAGGCTTTTAGACCTATTATATTAATATTCTAATTCTAATTAAGTATTTTATTATATATTGAACTTATTATATGATGCATGTTGTTTTCATTTTAATAAAATCCTTTAAAATTTTAAATTTTCAGAGATGATAGTGATGATGAATTTGAAAGTTACCACCCTTCTATTGAAATGCACTTTCAAAATCCCTTTTCCATCAATTTTGAAACAGACGACTTTAAAATGTTACCACTGGATATACAACATGAATTACTAACTGAAATTAAAGAACGTTACAAGAGAAAATGCTGGCTAGAGCAAGAAGAAATACCTGAAGTTGATTTTTTAATATATATTAAACTAAATTAATTTTGTATATTATATGTGAAAATTTCACTAATTTATATTTCATATTTAGAATTCTGGTGAATTTTCCAACTATCAAGTAGCCCAACTTCTGAACAGAAGAAAAATTCAACAGAAGTTGGAGGACGTACGGAAAACAATGAGTCAGAGAAGTGCTGGATCCATTAAGGAAATGCAGTTACTATATCTAGATTTAGAAGAGGAAGAAGAAATAGCGGAAGAAAGACGTATAATGTCCGAAGAAAATTCACATTTTATACTTTTAAAGCAGTCTAAAGTTTCTGGTAGTGGACTACCTACTGATGATTCAAATCAATTACTAAACAACAGAGATTCAAATGAAATAGCTATAATAGATGATGNAATTATGAGAACCACTGTTCTAGATGATATTCTGTAATTTGATGTCATTAAATTATAGCAAACTATACATAATAAAAACCATTACAAATTGTTTCAAATGTCATTAAGTTTTACTATTATTATTATGACAAAGCATAGATTTTATTTTTGTCTTTTTAAAGCTACATTTTGAATCAATGAAAATTGAATTCCAAAAATTTACACATAATTTACATAATTTGTAAATTGATGAACTTTGTAATAAATTAAATTGATTTAAAATTTGTTTTGTAAAACTGATTTAATTATAGTTAAAAATCATTTTAATCATCTCTTAGATGCATTTCATTATAATTTTTCATGAAAAGTGATATATTTATTTCAATATATTGATATAAGTTTAATATTGATAATGTGAAAGATTAATATTTAAAACAAAATTTATTAATTTGTTTTTTTTTCATTAGATATGGATCGAGATAAGTTAATTGCATTTGCCTTGCTGACTGGAAGTGACTACACTCAAGGCATACGTGGTGTTGGTCCAGTAACTGCCATGGAAATCTTGAGTGAATTTCCTGGAAATGGTTTAGAATCTCTTCAGAATTTTAGGTAATATATAAAGAAATATTCTTTATATGGGACTATTCTATGGAAATTATATGGAAATATTCTTAAAATTTGGAACAATTGAAAATTAAAATTTTTTTTTTTATAAATAGAAAATGGTGGGAAGGGTTTCAACATGGCAAAGAACTGCCAAAAAATTCTACATTAGTGAAGTTACAAAAATTGGAACTAAGTGAAGGATTTCCAAGCAGCGTTGTGTATAATGCATACATTAACCCTGCTATTGACCAGTCTGCAGAATCTTTTTCATGGGGTCATCCTGACCTTGACAGTCTTAGAGAATATCCTTTATAAAGTAAAATGAAAAGAAAATAATTCATAACAATAGAATTAAGATTATCTAATTAACACATTTTCTATGTAAAGAATTTTTTCCTTTTTTTTTCTGTTTATATGTTTGTATGACATGTTACCGATAACAGAAAATACATTTTTTTTTATGTAACTAGCATTTATTTCCATAAAGTTGATAATTTAAAATTTAAAAATTTTTCAGCCATATTAAATTGAATTTATGTAAGTGGAGCGATTACTGTATATTATTGTATTTTATAACAAATATGTAGTATCATTGAGACATTTCTTTGAAATTTAAGGACATTGTATATAAAACTAATTTATAATAAGCATTTTGGATCAAAGGATAATTTCAACTATTCATATATATTTTTACATATACTGTATATATATATGAGATATAAATGATGATTGGTTTTGATGATGTTTTAAATCTCTATTTGAAAATGAAATGTAAAATTGTTTTTCAAGAAATCTTTGAATTATCCATATTAGTGGTAATAAAACTATTAGAGAAGGCAAGTAATTTAAAAATTTCATTATATGGTCTGTCTGTGCGTTTTTATGCTATTGAAATAAAAATATAGATTCAGTATAATTGAATATGCCAATGTAGAATTAAAAAGCTATTATTTTCAATTGATTTAATTTCCAAACAAAAATTACGTAATATTCTTATTCTAATTCCTTAATGTTTGTAAGTTTGCGGAAGAAAAATTTGGTTGGAGCTTGAAAAAGGTTAATGAAATACTATTGCCTGTTATGAAGAAAATTAATGAAAATCAGGTAATTATAAATTTCATAATTATTATTATTAAATATGACCATTAATCTTAATACATTGTATCAATTTATTTAGATGCAAACAAGAATTGACAGCTTTTTTACTATTCAATTAAACAAAAAGGAGAATCTTTTCCCAAGTAAAAGGCTTCAAAAAGCAGTGAAAAAGATGCTTCCGGGAAAGAATGATACTATAGATGAGCCGAAAAACAAAAGGAAAAGATCGGATCAGAAGAAAAAGATTCTTACAAGAAAAAGATCCAAGCAACAATCAGATAAATCAGATACAAGTAAAAAACAGCCTGTCGAAGTTATCTTATCAGAAGAAAGCTCATCGAATTCTTCGTAAGAATGTAAAATTTTTTTTATAAAATTGTGCATGAAACATTAATGAAATGACACACTAATATTTATTAAAAATAGATTTTGATATAATGGAGTATAATAAACTTTTTATTTTATATTTATATTTAGTTTTATGTCTGTGTTGATAAAACACAGCTACAAAGTTACTCCATGCAATTGTTAAACTTGAGAGAGTATTTTGTGAATGGTTAATGATTTTTTTTTTGTTCCTCAGAATCATGAGATAGAAAATTTATTTTTGAAAATCTGTTAAAACAGAATACAGTAGAGCATCGATTATCCGACTCAATTGGGGACTCGGGTTGGTCGGATAACCGAAAAGTATGAAAAAATACATTAATAATAGACTATAGTATACTAGTAGCCCGGGACGTTCCCTAGTGGGCGTTCTTTACAAATTCCCATGAGGCACGGTTCCTTTGACTTTTTTGTTCCTATCAATATGCTCTACGGCTCTGTTAATTAAAGTCCCAATTGCGTCATACGGATCTATATTTCTATCTATTAAACATTCTATAAAACTTTAAAATAGTTTAACTTGTTTATTTATCTTCGGTTGTAACCCTCGATGTTAAATGTATCCGCCATTTTTTCAACAAATTTCCCGTGAGTCAATGCGCGACGTGAGTTACGGGATGTTGTAAACGTACGGCGCAAGGTTAATCAAGGCATATAATAATAAATTCATATCAATAATAAATTCCTATTACAAATAAAAATACAGTAGAACCTCCATTATCCGGACCTCCATTATCCGGATTTTCGATTATCCGGATTGTTCAAAATAAACAAAAATTTTACGAATTTGCTGATTTGCACTTGGCGAATTACGACACTGTTTATGTACGTGATGGAATGCATAACTTTTTTTGTTTCAACAACGTCTCACCCAGCACAGTGGTCGTAAACTCTTAAATATATTTTACGTAGTAATAAAAATATAACTTGACATACGTATTTATAAATAATTTATATTCAAATTACATCATTTCTATGACCAAGGGCGGCGTAAGGCATGGATGACGTGGGTCACCGCCTATGCCTCGCGGTCCGAAGGGCCTCGCGCCTCGAAGGTTTACGCATTACTTAAAAGCCGTGAAAGCGACGAAAAAAATTTACTCGTCATAAAACGATAAATAGTTTGTCAAATTTTTATTCATAAAAATGCAGTTTCGACTGCTTTTTATTTTATAAAATCCGTCTTCTTGCGCCACCAAAGGGCCTTTTAAACAATAGATAGTCTGTTAGTGTTGGTCAGTAGTATCCCAAATTCGATACGAACGTTTGATTTCTTGAAAATTTGATCACGATTTAAATACAGCATTTGCTTTTAATATTACCGATATGTCATCGAACAGAAAACGTGTTGTATTATCATTAAAAGACAAATTAAAGTATTTGTTTCGATTATCCGGATTTTCCCGTATCCGGACTGCCTTCATCCCCAATTAGTCCGGATAATCGAGGTTCTACTGTAATTTATTATTAATTTAAAATTATCGCAAGGGCACCTGTAGTGCCTGTTTTTGGCATACCGTTATACGGACTGATGGACACACGTTCAATGGGTTATATAGATAGATTAGTATATCCCATGCAATTAGTATATCGCTATTAACGTACTTCGCGTTGAATTTTCATCGATGTTAAGCCTAACAAAAATTTTTTAAAATAATAATCGTCGCTATTGTATCGTTAAAAATTAGAAAATTAAGCCTCGTTTAAATACTGGATCCCTTTCATGGGCGAGCCAGTGTTGCCAGCTAAAACACGTAAAAGTACTATTAAAGTAGCCAAGACATAGCCAAATATTGTAGTGCCACATCACTAGCGGACATTTGAATTTGACGACGAACGCGGTCGGTTAACCGATGTGACGGTTGATTGGGGGTCGGATAATCGATGCTCTACTGTACCATCATTTTGTAAAAGTTTACATTTAAATAGAGAAACAGATTTTGTAAATTGAATTGATTATGATTTATATACTTTATAATACTGTATATACATAAAATGTATTCAGGAGAATAAAATTTGAGTTAAATTCTATTTGATAATTGTAGCAGTTTTAAAATTTTTCCAGTGGCGTGCAGTGACATTTGATAGGGAAGCTGTGTTTCTGTAAGAAGCCGACATCCAGAGGCAATCAGTCACTTGCGCATCAGTGATGGTCTAGGGTCCATTTGTATCGTTTATTCGATAA